CGTGAAGGGTTGAGAAAAAAATCTTTATCTGGTTTATCGTTGCGTGTTAATACAACTTAAAAGGACGACTCACTTTGCACATCAGTCAACTCAGTTACATTACAAATCTACTTCCCCCTGGGCTTTTCACAATAGAAGCACGCTAGAGTCTCCATGCAATAACGTCTCCATTTYAACGTAGCGCGTTAAATCTAACCGTGCACGTCACTGAAGAGTTGCTTACTATTCAGCGATGGTGAAAACGAGATTTTTTTTTTACGTCAGACCATATAAGCGGCTGAAACACACCACCCGCCGCCAGTTGTTCCAACAATAACGTTAGCATGCTAATGCGTTTAGCGGTGCTGCACGGAAACGTGTTCCCAGGGAAACAATTCACTGGCAGCCACGATGAAACGTTCCGCACATGTTCAGGCTATTTACACCGGTATTCAGAAAAGTTATATAACAAAAATAAAAACTGGTTTTCGGTACAAAACGGTATACTGCCCAGCACTAGCAGGAATATCTGCTATGATTATCTTTAGAGCCATCACGATAATCTGGACTTCCTTAAGATTGTCGGAAGGGCAAAAATTGGCCTGATTATCTTTCTGTGCGACACAGGCCTTAGATGCTGCAGTTAGTTGGTTAGTTGTCAGGAAGGGTATTGGTGAGGGTGAAAAAATAGGCAAATCTTCATGTGAGTTTACTCACTTTGGTAACCCCTGAAGAATGCATCTTAGGTTAAAAAACATCAAAGTCRTAACTGTTTTGGTCAAAACTTGATAATAAAAATTTTGTAAAACCTTAAACCTCTCTTAGTGCTCAGAGTATTTGTTGTGAATTGCATTCAGCTACTTCCACTAGGCCTGGGCGATAAACCGAAAAATAACCGATACCGACATTTGTGACAATAACCAACGTCATTTTGCCCATGTCGGTGTTTTCGGTAAATGAGGAAAAGAGAAACCTGCTTGTTTTCCGTGGTCTCGTTAAAGCCGCCCAGTCTGATACAGGTTTAAACAGACGCAGCTTTCAATAAATCAAACGAACCCCACAGCTTTATCCAATCAGAACAGAGCAGGGCGGGTCTTTCTGATGTCGGTGCAGCAGTCTGCAGGTTAAACACTGATTTATACTAAACAGATATTGTCCTGGTTGTGAAACACTTCATCTGAGAGAAAACAGAGGATAAAGAGTAAAATCATAAAACATGATGACATTTTAAGGTAAGCAAAAGAGGTCACTGACTCTTGACCTGAGAAGTATGTGGGACTTTCAGAGGAAAGTTATTTTTCCAAGACAATGGTTTGTGTACAGTGTTTCTGTGTGTTCAGTAGTGTGTAATGTTGCAGTATGTCATCAAAAGCAGGGAAGAAGTAGTCTGCTTGAAATCTAATTTTGTGTTAAATATGGTTTACTACTGAGATTAATCAAAAAAGTTCCCAGTATTTTATTTAATTTTTAAAAAGTCCTGTTCCTGAAATGAGCCTGAAAACCAGCCATCCAAGTTTTCATGAAATCATACTGTGCTGTAAACTCAGCACAAATGTGTGGAAGTCTTTGTTTATTTTTTTCTTCCTTTCTTTTTTGTAGCTGGAACTGTAAACAACTCTCAGTTTACAATGCTTGCCAAAAGAAAAAAAAGCATTCACTCTTGTTTTATGTTTTTTTYCTCTTATCAACTGCTGAATGAATAAGTTGAAACAAATTTTGTGAACACTCCATTGTGTTTAGAAACTGGGTTGTGTATTTGTCAGATGTTCCTGTGGTTTTAATTTACAGTAGAAAAGAAAACAAAATGATTAGCCAATGAATATTCAACTAAAAACAGGGACAAACACTGGTGGTGAAAAGCAGTGACATGCTTGGTTGATGGTGAGGCACTGAGTTCATCAGAATTAGATTTACAAATATATGAACCCTACAGACGTTAATGAGTTATTTTTCATATCTCATATCATTATCCTTTACACAAACTGTAGCTCACTTTATACACATTTCTTTAAAACAGTTATCATGTTCTATAAATTAAATCCATGCACCACTTATGACATTCCACCTGAGTCCAGATATTGTCACAAGTTAAAAAAAGGCAGGGGAAAACGTTTTACTCAGGACATCCACACAGCCACACTTCATTTCAGAAGAGCTTTTGTCTCATGTGGGTCTTATTTACCTGCTGCTTCCAAGCCCAGTTTAGAAAATAGTTTTGTGAGGTGTGTTGGCAGAATGACCCAGGGCACAGGCAAAATCCAAAAGTAAAATGATTTCATAAACAAAAGAGGGCTGCAGTGGCAGCAACAACGAATAACTCTCWGAAAAAGACACGAAGAACAGGAACACGGAGGACACCACACTGGCTGGAAAAATCACAATGATCAGACACAGACTGAGGACAAGACACCAAATATAAAGGCAAACTAATGAGGATAAATGAGAAACACCAGTGTGGGCGGGGCTGCAGGGCAGAAAACAGGGTAACACTSAAACACTAGAAAAACCAAGAAAACAAACACAGACTGTGACAAGTTTGAGTTTTTAAAATATACAACCCTCCATTCTAAGTCAGGTTTGGCACGACGAAAAATAGTTAATGGATCTCTGCTGCACTTTACTTTTTTATACTTGATTAAACTGAAGGTTTACAAAACAGGTAGCAAAAACGCTGCACTTTGCTTGCTAACTGTAAATTTGTGTTACTCCTTTTGCAGCTCAGAGTAATCTCTGAGTATACCTGAGAACCTGCCTGAGAACCACCAGCCTTCATTCATGTTATTTCTCAGTAGTTTCAGCTCACAGAACACGTTACAAATTCATTTGTGTGTGTGTGTGTGTGTGTGTGTGTGTGTGTGTGTGTGTGTGTGTGTGTGTGTATATATACACACACACACACACACACACACACACACACA